TGACCCGCAAGGCCAGGGCAAGATCTGGATTAAGAACAGGGAAGCTATGAACGAGCTGCAGGTAAGTGTATATTCTAAACCGAAAAATCAATAATGTATCATATCAATGTAATGGATACATAACTACTTTCATGGGTCCATTGTATTATTCATCCACGAATTACGCTGGCAGATCACATCCCTCAACCACAAGTACTTCCGCACCCACCTTGAGGACTCGCTCTCGCTCGGTCGCCCTTTGCTGATCGAGGACGTGGAGGAAGAATTAGATCCCGTCCTGGACAATCTCTTGGAAAGGAATTTCATCAAATCAGGATCCATACTAAAGGTTATTCCTCATGAGGCTTTTCCTTTTGTTTCAGTTTTAAATATTTGGGATATTTGATTGTTATCTAAAGAAAAAGTCAAACATAAAACGCCCCTTTTAGGTTGTAGTCGGGGATAAAGAATGCGACGTCATGCCGGGATTCATGCTATACATGACCACAAAACTCTCCAACCCGGCCTATACGCCCGAGGTATCGGCCAAGACTTCCATTATTGACTTCACCGTCACAGTGCATGGCCTCGAGGACCAGCTTCTAGGTAGGGCAAAATCTTACTTTTCAGTGTGACGCGGCTGTATTTCTGCGTGTAGTCTCCAGTGATATATTTTTGGGCAATATCAATTAATGTCGCCGGTACTCATACAGGTAGAGTCATCAGGACCGAGAAGAGGGAGTTAGAAAACGAACGCGTTGCACTTATCGAGGAGGTGATGGAAAACAAACGTAAAATAAAGGAACTCGAAGATAACCTTCTGTACCGTCTCACTTCAGTCCAGGTCAGTGTCACACCATTAGTAATGTAGGATATCGTTGATTTGAAAATGTATTCTCTTTTGATCCGGTGTATTCAGCAAGTGTGTACGACATAATCAAAATGTATTTTTTGCAAAATCAGTATTTTTGCATGTCAAAAAATTAAGTCAGAGAACCTTAATGCAGGGCTCACTGGTGGACGACGAGGACCTGATCGTCGTGCTGCAGGAGACCAAGGCGACCGCCCAGGACGTGAGCACGAAGCTGCACATCGCCTCGGAGACCGAACGTAAGATCAACGGCGCACGCGAGGAGTACCGTCCCGTGGCCACTCGCGGCTCCATCCTGTACTTCCTCATCACCGACATGGCTGCCGTGTCGTGCATGTATCAGACCTCCCTCAGGCAGTTCCTCGTCCTCTTTGATATGTCGATGACAAGGTATGTGTCTGGCCAAGCTTCTCACAGGTGAACGAATGATATCAGAACTTCAGAAATGTATGATCTCACCATCTGCCACACTGTTTTACTATGGCTGTTATTGAAGTCAATAACTACCATATCTAACTGTTGCATCAATAAGTTGTAGAACTGTAGACTGTTGCTAATACACATATAGACAGCTTTTGACAAGATTTTTACAAGAATATTGTATTTCCCTCATATCTTGATACTGTCTCCTCTAGCAGATTATGTATGGAAAAGGAAGATAATACAATCAATTATATTACCGTACAAGCATTATTTTTTGGCAGATTTGTACTTTCCTGTTCGATGAATGTCATTTCCGCAAAAGGACAAAAACTTTTCAGGTACTGATAAATCTAGTGTACTGTATTTTGAAGGACTTTTTGTCGTGTTGCAGATCAGAGAAGAGCAACAATCCCAAGAACCGAATCATCAACATCATCAAATTCCTGACTGCTCAGGTCTGGAGGAATGCTTGTCGGGGATTTTATGAACGTCATAAGCTGCTGTTCACTCTGCTGTTGGCCATGAAGATAGATTTGCAGTCTGGCCATATCTCTCACGATGAGTTCATGAAGTTTATCAAAGTAAGAGTTCGATGTTGCAAGAAGTGCACTACTGTAGATGTATAAATGCATAAAATGAAATCATCAGTAGTTGTGTAGGGTGATTGCAGTTACTCGTTGCAAAGCGACAAATTCTGTTCTTCTCCAAACAGGGAGGCGCGTCCCTCGACCTGAAAGCCGTCCAGCCAAAGCCATTCCGCTGGATCCTCGACATCACGTGGCTCAACTTGGTCGAGCTCAGCAAGCTGGGTCAGTTCGCCAATATCCTCGACCAGATCGTCGAAAACGAGAAGGACTGGAAGGTTTGGTTTGAGAAGGAGAAGCCGGAAGAGGTAAGGAGCTCAGCGCCGGCCTCGGTTCAGTCCGGGGCCGCCGGGGGGGTGATGCTCATTTGACTCTTTCGTGTGCGGGGAATCACTTCGAACTATTGTGTTTAGTATTCGTTCTAATATAGACATTTAAAAACTAAGAGGGGATTGAGATATCATGATGTTATGATATATACTTGAAATGACATATGTTCATCAGAATCAAATTGTATTTGTCACACATATTTAATTGGTCTGTATTATGCAATCTTAGAAGTGATTAAATTGACAGTAATGAGTAGACAGTAAGTAATTCAGCGAGAATGTACTCTTATACATTCATGGTTGGCTGTTTACATCCTTTGGCACTGTCAGCAGTTTTTTTTTTTTTTCAAAACGGCTTCCAGAACATTTAGTTGTGACTGACAGCAATACATATGTGTGCACACTTTCTTCTAAGAGCACCGCTAACTATATACCTTGTAGCATTCTTTAGTACTGTGTACAGAATGAGCATGGCGCGAACTGTGCATTTTCACGTATTTCTTCTCTCTCTTGATTTTCATGCTGAGTAAGCATGACGATATTTTTCGCTCGTTGCATGTTTTGAATTTTTCCTGAATTCGCACTGAATCTGTAAGCGTTCAGTTATTTTGCGAGCGTTTTCCTCCTCCTTTTTACAATCTTTTCCATTTTTTTTTTTCACACGTCATTTGGCTGACCGGTTGAATGTCCGCTAACCGTCGACGCTCACAAGTCCAAACCCTTTTTGGATGCTGCTCCCTTTTATGGCAGTCACTGCATGTTTTTGTACTTTTCTCCTTCGTATTTTTGAGCCTGTGATGGCTATTTTTGAAAGTGATTTTTGTGACCTCGTTTTGTAAATGAAGTATCCTTTCCCTTCAGAGCTACTCGGATGGTTCGCAGACTGGCTACACAACCACTGTAAGATTCCAAAACGCATATTAAGACGAAAATATAATTATCACATGATTCAGCCAAAATGTTCAGTTAGTATAAGTAAAACTTACTCGATTAATAAAAGTAAGAGAGAAAGATAAACAAAATGGTGAATTGCAATAAAGAAGGCCTTCAGTACGTGCTAATAGACTGCAACGCCAGCCACAGAAGGCCCAAGGTTGTTCCGCCTGCGAAAAGATATTCCAGGTACATGAACTGACTCATATCACGCTCCACAGGAGGAATTGCCTTGCGGATACTCTCGCAACCTCGACATGTTCCGGCAGCTCCTTCTGATCCGCTCGTGGTGTCCTGACCGCACCCTCTCGCAAGCACGGAGGTACATTCGAAGTAAGTCTCTCCTCGAACTATGGCTTCACTCAATCAAGGGTGCGGGTCCATGTTGTAGATGTCATCATCTCTATGTCTGTCTATCTATCTATCTATTTCTCGCTCTCTCGCTCTCACTCTCTCTCTCTCTCTCTCTCTCTCTCTCTCTCTCTCTCTCTCTCTCTCTCTCTCTCTCTCTCTCTCTCTCTCTCTCTCTCTCTCTCTCTCTCTCTAACTCTCTCTCTCGTTCTCTCGTTTTCTCGTTCTCTCGTTCTCTCGTTCTCTCTCTTGTTCTCTCGTTCTCTCTCTTGTTCTCTCGTTCTCTCGTTCTCTCTCTCTCTCTCTCTCTCTCTCTCTCTCTCTCTCTCTCTCTCTCTCTCTCTCTCTCTCTCTACTCTCTCTCTCTCTCTCTCTCTCTCTCTCTCTCTCTCTCTCTCTCTCTCTCTCTCTCTCTCTCTCTCTCTCTAACTCTCTCTCTCTCTCTCTCTCTCTCTCTCTCTCTCTCTCTCTCTCTCTCTCTCTCTCTCTCTCTCTCTCTCTCTCTCTCTCTCTAACTCTCTCTCTCTCTCTCTCTCTCTCTCTCTCTCTCTCTCTCTCTCTCTCTCTCTCTCTCTCTTTCTCTCTCTCTCTCTCGTTCTCTCTCTCGGACGCCAATGCACCCACCCTACGTTTCTCACGAACATTTCTGCCTCAGACTCGCTCGGGGAACAATACTCCGACAGCGCCATCCTGGACCTGGAATCCACGTGGGAGGAGTCTGACAACAGGACTCCTCTCGTCTGCTTCCTGTCTCAGGGCTCGGATCCTTCCAGCCAAATAGAGATCTTGGCGAAGACCAAAGAGATGGGTGAGTTCCTCCAGTCATGATCGTTGTAACTCGACATTCTAACTAACTTAATGTAGTGGGCTTTGTAACATCCATACCTTCACCGCACTCTAGCGTTTACATCGTCCTCCAGAAATGCGGTCGATATCCATGGGGCAGGGGCAGGAAGCCCACGCGAGGCGCCTCCTCGCCGACGCCATGGCCGCCGGCCGCTGGCTGCTGCTCCAGAATTGCCATCTCAGTCTGGACTTCTGCCAGGAGATGCTGGACACCGTCACGGAGTCGGACAACGTCAACAGGTCGTTCAGACTGTGGATAACAACAGAGGTCCACGCTGCCTTCCCGATTGGCCTGCTGCAGGTACTTCCGAAAAAATATAATATTTATGTATTCTATACCTATTACTGAAAAAAAAATATATTTCCAGTGAATGAATCACAATTGATCCTTTTCACCACTGCAAAAATAGCAAGGAACATATTCCAGCAAGGCATACGTTTAAAAAAAACCATCATGACAGTTGATAAAGATAAAAAATTTCTTAGACTTTAAAAGGTTAAGAAATTGGCAGTGATTATGCAATCGTTAATTGGTATTTCCTCCAGATCTCTATCAAATTTACGAACGAGCCGCCCCAAGGCATCCGCGCCAGCTTGAAGAGGACGTATGCCGATATCTCTCAGGTCAGTGGCAAGTGGTTGTCTGCGGAACTGAACTCTCAAGAACCAAACGTATATAGTAAAAAGGATTACTAGGAAGAGAAATTTGGCTAAGGATGCATTACTGTTTTGCTGGAAAATAAATGTAATTTTTATTCCCTCTGCATTGTATTGTATCCCATGTAAAAGGGATAATACACTTAATACACTGTAATTTGAATATCAAATAAAAAATCACTATGATTGTTATCATCGAGTAAGGACCCAAAGAAATTTTGCAAAACATTCATTTTGACATTGCAGATAAATTATCATATACAGCATCAGACCTATTGGCTCAAGAAACGTAAGTGAAAGTGCCTAGCTCCGGGATTCCGTGAGAGGTGAGCGTTTCCCATGGGATGGCGCATTACCAAGTCCTATTCCCAGCAATCTGAATCCTTTCCTTAGACTAATGACTTTAGTCTAACGAGTGTGTATTTCAGACTGTGTTCCCATTGTTTAGGCTTCGTATAAGACTACATTCTGACTAAGGAGCGTGAGATGTGTACCCTGTGTAAACCATACCTGCTGGTACCTTTGCCTAGGCTGTGTGCCTGAATGTATGATTAGGACACATCCTTAAGGTGTAGTTGACACCCTTTTGACGTATCAAATTATGTATGGAATGGTAATGATGAATCATTTACAACTTTTCAACTGCAATATCACCCACTGTTATCTGCCACTGAATGATCGTCCATTATATTGCATCAACATTATTTTATCACTACTTGATACCGTTTTAATATCACAACTGCATAAACTCTTCATTATCATCACATTGCATGCCATCACCATACAGAGACACCACTGCGCACTTCAAATAAAAGTGAGTGTGAATATCAGTCATAATTAAATTACATAACAGCCTATCTGCGCATACCACCGCACGCTGTTGTTGTTACATTCACTGGCCATGCAAGTGATGAAGAATGTGGCATGACTAGCCCGGGTAGAGCTAATGCCACCCTGTAAGAGTAACCCTGAAGGTGTTGATGATACCTATCTGGCGGGATACGATTTATATATATATATATATATATATATATATATATATATATATATATATATATATATATATATATATATATATATATATACATATATATACACACACACACACACACATATATATGTAAACTATTCACCTTGGTGGAGGGGCACTGGTAAGGACCTGATGGGCATCTTGTAGGCTGAGTATATCAATAAAACACCTGGCAGCTATATATGCAAAGAGGCTTTGGTCTCTTCGATCAGGGCTGTGGTACTGCTAAGGTCATAGTTGTTGGATACTAGGGCAGTCCTAAATGTAGTGTATAGCCTCCGGGCTAGTACAGTGGTAACATGTTGGCCTCTCATCCAAGGGGTCGGCGGTTCGCGCCGATGTAACAATTGTCGTCAGCACCAGCTGACACACGTTAGTGGGTCGGCATTAGTCGACACAGGCCGGGCTCCCCTCACGGGCATAGCCAGGGCGAAGCTCAGCTTCGCATATTAGACTTATCCTTATGTTGTGTATCAATGGCTCTTGTGTGATCGTGTCACATAAAGTGCATGGCTTGGGCACGCGGAAATCAATTTCCCAACCGCACCTATACCCTAAGCGGAGCCTGTGGAAGATGTCAGCAGCGTTCCTGGAGAGAGTGGTGGCTGTGAACAGGATATTGTAGTCAGTAACTCTTCTGTACCAGATTGCTGACGGGGATCCTGCAATGACTTTTGCACGGTGCTCTATGAATAAAACTTCATATGAGGTCTTCCTGGTGTGTCTCTTTAGCTGGCTAAGACTAGGTGGAATGTGACCATTGATCAATGAGAGGCTTAGGCTACCCTTTGCTGCAGCTGAGTCTTCACCAGAAATGTTTACTTGGCTAGGAACCATAAGGTAAGGGTTTTATCCTGCTCTTCTAACTGCTTGATGTGAAATAAAACTGTCATGAATAACAGGAGGTTATCAGTGGTTTGTAAAAATATGAATGGTTGACTGTGGGGTAACTATAGCAAGCCTGAGAGCCATATAGATGGCATACAGCTCGGATTGTAGAGTGGATGCACCATCTGAGACACAGTTTGTATCTTCTGCAACAAACGCAGCCCCTGTTCTGATCGACTGAACCATTGAAAATGAGAAGAGTATCTGCCGCTCTGAGTGCATCAATGTTTGCCTCTAGCTGTGCTACCATAGCAGGAGCTCTGGTAATGATGTTGATGTGAATCCATATAGTCCATTCCTTCCAGAGTGGGTGAGGGTGATAGTGAAGGCCCTATCCATGGGGTCGCCTCATGACTCATACCTCCCTCCGCAGGACCTTCTGGACTACTCCAATGTCCCTCAGTGGCCGCGGCTGCTGTACTCGACAGCTTTCCTGCACACGGTGGTGCTGGAGCGGAGGAAGTACGGGGCGCTCGGTTGGAACATTCCGTACGAGTTCAACCAAGCGGACTTCCAGGCTTCGGTGCAGTTTATCCAGAATCATCTGGATGACATGGATCCGAAAAAGGTACTGCATCCACATAATGGTAATATAAAATCGATAGAATC